TATTACAGTACATTACTGTAATTGTTCTATTTTATTATTGTTGTTAATCTCTTACTGCACCCAATCTATAAATTTTAGCACAGGCATGTATGTATAGGAAAAAAACAGTATATATATAGTTTGCTATTATCCATGATTTTAGGCGTGTGTTGGGGGGGGGTCTTCAAATATATCCCCTTAGAATGATAAGAGGGGGGGCACCTGGGTGGCTCAGTGGGTTAAGCCTCTGCCTTCGGCTCAAGCTGTGATCCCAGAGTCCTGGGATCAAGCCCCGCATCAGGGGCTGTGCTAGCACAGAGCCTGCTTCCTCCTCTCTCTCTGCCTACTTGTGATCTCTGTCAAATAAATAAATAAAATCTTTAAAAAAAAAAAAAAAGGAATGATAAGGGGGGCTACGCTACGGTACTAAGTTCTAAGTGATGGGAATGCTGATATTTTAGTTGTCAGCTCTAAGTTAACATTTGTTTGCCCATTATTTATCACTGCCTACTTGAAGGATATTAAAAACATTTTTCATGGGGCAGCTGGGTGGCTCAGTTGGTCAAGCATCTGCCTTCAGCGTCTCCCTCTCCCTCTGCCCTTCCCTTCTGCTTGTGCTGGCACACTCTCTCAAATAAATATATATAATCTTTAGAAACAAAATTTTTAAATAAATTTTAAAAAACATTTTTCACATAAAAAGATAAGCTCAAAGTTTCATAGTAACCTACTAAAAAGGACTGTATGTTTATCTAGTCTTGGTAATCAAACTGTTCCAAGATCTTCATACTTTAAATATAAACAAGCTTTGAGAGAGTCCTTTTTTTGTTCCAAAGATCATATTTCACTTGCCAGTAATTGTAATAAAGCTCATTTATGTAAAATAATATTAAGCTTATTACCCTAGGTTAGGGGGCGAGGCAGGTTGACAGTGAGACAGACATTCACCATCTTCTCCCTGACAATGTGGCCGGAAGAATACGGTCTCACTAACCCTGCCATGTGAGCAGTACTCCGGGAGTGCTGTACAGGAGAGGGCTCCCTGGGGTACAGAATTTGAGCCGGAGACTGAAGCCCAGGCTGGACTTTAAAATGTGGACACACTGAGAGGATGGTGTGCCAGGGAGAGCAAATCCATGCTCACGGGTCTGAAATAAATCAGTATGACTGTTCTTTCAGGTTCAAGTTTTGAAACTGCTTGTTAACTTGTCTGAAAATCCAGCCATGGCAGATGGACTACTTAGTGCCCAGGTAAATAGCTAAGATACGTATTTTATAACTATATAAATATATAGATTTGGATGGATCTAGAAAGATTTATCCCAAAAATGTAAACAGAGTATCTGTGAGGAGCACAGGGTTTTGTTTTGTTTTGGTTCTTTTTGTCTACACAAATTTCCTAACTTTTCTGTAATGAACCGATTTTACTTTTAAAAAAATCATTTTGGAAGGGGCCTCCCTAACAACCACAAATTGTTCTGTCTCTCCATTTTGGGGTACACGTATGTGACCGCATCTCTTCCCCTTGACGTGTTTGTGTCCGCACGTCTCCTCACGGGCACTGAAACACTAGTCCCCAGGACACGCCACACGCCGAGCCCAGCGCCAGAACACCAGTGAGCACACTCGGGCAGCTTATGAGAAAAAACGAAACGTAGCAAACGAAAAAAAAAAGCTGAAATAAGTGTTCTGAAGGAAGCGAAGGTGGTGCAGACCATGAACGGGGCTCCACTCCTGTAAGGGAAGGACCTGCTCCTCCCTGCGCCCCGGCCCTGCAGGTTACAGGGGGCGCGACGTGTCCAGGGAACTGAGGGCCGCCGGGAGGGCTGAATGACGGACCTTAAAATGGATGTGGGTGTTTTTCCCAGGACTGCCTTTTAGAACTCCAAGAAAATAGTATTTTTCAGCTGAAACAGTGAAACCTTTGTTTCCGTTAGTGTAAAGCATAACGGTGCGTAAGATTTTATATTGATGTTAGACAATATTAGGGATAATTTTCTATGACCCACTTTTTTTATGTATTCAGTGTAGTTTTAAAATGTGAAAATATGCATGAAAAATGTTTCCATGAATCATTAACACTCACGGTTTCCTTTTTCAGGTGGACTCCTCATTCCTTTCCCTCTATGACGGCCACGTGGCAAAGGAGATTCTTCTTCGAGTTCTTACGTTCTCCCAGAATATAAGTAACTGCCTCAAAAAAGAAGGCTGCTTAGCTGTTCAGCCTACTTTCCCTAAAGGTTCCTTGTTTTTCCTGCTATATGGAGAAGAATGTGCCCAGAAAATGAGAGCTTTAGCTGAACACCATGATGCAGACGTGAAGGAAAAGGTAACGGTCCTACCCAGGTTCTGATGGTGGCAGTTTTCATCTTCCAGCTGCCGATCTAAACAGTAGATCTCACATTTCATCATTAACACAGCTGGACCCTGCCATGGTCTTCCGGTTTATTTTGAACCACTTTATCGATAACAAATGAATAGAAGAGCTTGTTCTGATATCATTTCATTTTGCCGTTTGCTGAGTTTACTTCAGTTACCTCCTTGATGTGACCAGCCAGTTGCCTTATTTACAAGTAAGCTAACCTCCCGCCCGTCTGAGACCACACTCGTGTGTGACTGGCTGGCTGGTTCAGGGCTGCTGCAGGAGCGACCTTGGTCTTGCGCTTGTGAGGAGTTGCGCAGACATACCGCTTTCCCAAGTCTAATCTGAGTCAGACTGGCTTCTCGTCCTCACCACGTCCATTGGATGTGGCGGGCTGGGGCCAATCTGATTGTCCATCTGTAGGCAACTGGTGAAATCCGTTATCTTAAACAAGGAAGCCTGACTGTGCTAATGTGGATGTGTTTTTCAAATGAAAACTATGCTTCTATCCAGAGAACAGTTTCTAGAACGATAGCCAGATTCCGGGGAGTGGGACTGAGGAAAGGACTTTTTTATGTATACCTTCTTCTACTGTTTGAATTTAACCATCAGCATAAATTTTGTAATTTTTTTAAATAAAAAGGAAAAAGGTTTCTACACATTTTCTCTTAATAGTACTTTATTAATTTTCATATTTTACATAGCTGAGATTTTCATACATTGTAAATTTTAGTCATTGTCACAACAGCTTATGGAATAAAAATACTATTAACAGACTTCAGTTCAGCCAGGTATTCTGTAATATTCCAGTTCCTCCCCATCACCATGCCCGGTACGAGGCAAGTCAGTGTGCAGGCCGCAGCTTTCCTGCTCCAGGTGTTTAAGGCAAAGCTGTGCAAGTACGTTAGTTCTCATTTGTACATACAGGGATTTCCATAGGAAGTCACAAATCCTCAAACAAAAAAGTGTATATTTTCAGGGCTAGCCTGACACAGAAATCAAACTTGCAAGAAGTATTTTTACAGTAGAGAGGTGAAACCACGGACATTCCCAGCTGGCTACAGCAGTGGGGGGATAGATGCTGGCTGAGAACACTGCTTAGGCTTGCAGTGCTGACAAAAGTCCTTGTTCCCTGAAAGGCACATTTCTTTATAATGAGTTTTTTAATCTGCCTCCTTATTTAATGAAAATATGTAGTCAAATGGGCACCGGATTAGAAAATGGATTGGGCTCTGATGTGCTTCAGCAGCACTGGATTCTAAACCCCATCTCTTGTTTCCTGTTTTTAGTTTGAGTAGCTAATACCATTTCCTGGAGATCAGAGTGTTGAGTCTGAAATGTCAGAATGCTAGAGAAAAAAGGGGAGTCCTTTTTAACTACCCTGATCTTTGTCTGTTGAGGTCAGGGCACATCTTGGTTTTTGTTGGCTGAGACTGCCCGCAGTGCAGGATCCGTGCGCTGGGCAAGGAGGAGCCTCTTTACCACAGGGGCTCGTCCGTAAAACCTGTTGGGGTTTAGGGGATGCCAGCTAATCAGAAGAGCAAAATGAAAGTGATCAGAGACGACGGAGTGAGAGGCATCACGCCACACCTCAGACTGAATGGAAGCAAGAGAGTGGATTTGGCTTATTTTTCAAAATTTGGTTTTGCTTTTGTACTTAAACCTTGCAAAAAGGTAGCTAAGTGAAAACACGGAAGCCACACGAAACAAAAGGTCAGTGTAGAAAGAAGGTGAAGGGTAATAGAAACTAAAGCTCGCGATCGGACCTAGGAAAAGGCGGCAGGCCCGTTAAGCGGAACTGGAACAAAGTGCTCGGAGACCTGCACTTCCACGGTACATGTGAATGCAGGAATCATGTTAAGGCCATTCATGGAGAAGACAAAGTAAGACGAACTTGGTCTGCTTCACAGAGCAGAGGTAAGAGGTGAATTCTCAACGCGGCGTGCGACAGCAGGGAAGGTGACCACGCAGGTGAGCGTTAGGACGCCAGCCCCTCCCCCGCGACCTCATCCCCATCAACCTACCAGCTCCATTCCTGTCTGCTTGCTAGGATGTTCCTTTGGAGTGAAAAGGTTTAGGGCTGTTCTGTTGTTTTTCCCCTGAAGGTTATGTTACAGGGAAATTGTGCTTTAGTGCCCCAAATCACACACGTTCACATACATTATATATACACATTTCCCCTGGACTGATTTGCAGCTCTAAGATAAAAATGCTAAATTCTGATAAAGATCATTGACATTTATTTTGGCTATCACTCTTTAAATTTACAAAGGAGACAAAGTTGTCCTCAGGGTTTTTCATGTCCTAAATATATATATATGCTTGAATCTGCAGCAACAAGACACTATCAAAAGCAGCATGAGCCCATTTTCAGCTTTCAGAGCTACCAATCTATATTAGGCAGTAATGTCTTTTTTTTTTTTTTTTTAAGATCTTATTTATTTGACAGAGAGATCACAAATAGGCAGAGAGACAGGCGGAGAGAGAGGAGGAAGCAGGCTGCCTGCCGAGCAGAGAGCCGGATGCGGGGCTTGATCCCAGGACCCTGAGATCATGACCTGAGCTGAAGGCAGAGGCTTATTAACCCACTGAGCCACCCAGGCGCCCCTTGGCAGTGATGTCTTAAGAAATAATGTTCTCTCTTATATTTTCAAAGTGCTTAAAAAAAAAAACACTACTTATTCACATTTTTTGGAGGTAGGTCAAAATGTCCTCTTGTTCCACATGAGGAAACTGAGGCATGGTGAGCACAGGTGACTTACTGCAGGATACACACAAAATCCATGGTGGAAACGGGATTAAAACTGAGATTAAGTGGCTAACAGGTGGCGTGCATATATATATATGTATGTGAAAATAAATAGATTACCGCCTGGGTAGCATTTGCTGTAGAAAACCTATTTTGATTATTTTGTGTAAATAACGTTTGCTTCATGGAGACTGGGAAGCCAGGAGCACAGGAGGGCCTCTAATGTGTCTCATCGGCTCTGGTGGTAGGTAGAGCAGTCAAGGGCCACAGAGCCCCTCCAGGATTAAACTCTGGTCAGCTAATTCCCCAAAACCATTTCTCTCTTAACTGCTAGTGTTCCACACTAGCTTAGTCAAAGTAGAATCGGGCTTAGAGGTCATTCAGTATAAAAATATAAGCCATGTGAATCCTGTAAAACAAACTATATAGACTTTATTGATACATTCATAGTTGGAATAAAGAAAGGAGGTGGGAAAATGAGTAGATGGACAGAAGATGGAATAGAGAATTAACATTTGAAGAACTGCATTTGTCTTTGTAAAATATTATTTCCTGGAAGCTATCTTTGTGCTTAGCAGGTCTGACTTTTAGATTAAAAATAGAAAATGTCACCAATCATGTCCTCCTAACCACCCCCCTTCCCTGCCCCTCGCCAGCTCTGCTTCTGATTTGGGGATTGTAGATGTAAAACAGAAAATACTCTTCCTCTTCTAAAAAAGTAAGTCTTTAAAAATGGGAACTTCGCCCAACCTCTTATGTTTCTATGCTTAAAAAAATAAATCACTGCGCATCTGGCATATAAGCTAATCTGACGGAGCAGGGAGGGCTGCTGTAAGCGCGTGGGTGGCAGTGTCCTCACGTCCTTTAACGTGAATAGAAAACAGGTTTAGATGTGCGGCCTCTGAAACCGTCTCGTTAGATAGACTCACCTTGTAGGAGGCCCTTTACCAGAAGAACAGAAATGAGACCTTAAAATCCATTTTCATAACCTCCGACTTCTACCATTACACTATAATATTAAAAAGAACAAAATTCCATTGCAATGCTTACACTATCGAGAGGGTTTTAATTCCCCTTAGCCAATTCACTGTGTAAATAACCCACCTCGGAACTCCTGCTTCTCTGTAGAGATTGGCAAGCACAGCAAGCAAGCAAGTTACCGCGCAAAACAGAACACTAACTCGTTGAGGTTGTTTCCTAAGTATTGGAATTCCTCATGTTCATGCGTTTGTGAGTCTGTCTGAGCTTTGCAGATACCTTCATCACTGACGGCTCCTGCGCTCACATTTATTCCGAGTTGTCCTCATCAGTATTGAGGTATCTGGATTCTCCATGCTTCAAGACAAAAAAATCTTCCGGCTTAAGTCCGTATCTTCCTAGAGCCTCGCTCAGCTTCACTGGGGGCTCCAAGTAATGCTGGCAAAGGGCAGACGAGGGGAGGGGAGGAATGGAAAAGGATTAACCATGCATATATTTGGGGGATATTTCAGGTAAGAATTGAAACTAAAATGACCAACTTATGGGGCGCCTGGGTGGCTCAGTGGGTTAAAGCGTCTGCCTTCGGCTCGGGTCATGATCCCAAAGTCCTGGGATCAAGCCCCACGTCGGGCTCGCTACTCAGCAGGGAGCCGGCTTCCTCCTCTCTCTCTGCCTACTTGTGATCTCTGTCAAATGGGTAAATATAATCTTTAAAAAAATAAAAAATAATAAAATGATCAACATATGCCTCCTTAACATCCTTTTCATTCAAGCAGCAGCAGATGAGTCCATCACAGTTTCTGATCTAGAGTCATCACTTCGGCCAGCAGAAATACCAAACTTATCTGTCCAAGTACCATGAATGTCAAATGTGGTGCCAGCCTAGCCTGAACATACTAGACTGCACGACATCCAGTCACTGCTTCACTACATGAAATTCCAGCCTAAATGAAATCAATACCAAAGACAGTATTACAGAATGAGATGTTACCAAGATCTCTGAAGAGGGCAGAAGCTTAGGTTATAGAAGTCAGAGTGCGTATGCGTAAGCAAACTCTGGAGAAAAGATTTCTGGCTCACAGAAAGAAGGTCGTTCCCCTCAAACCGCCAGCCAGGCATCGACGAGAGCTCTAGTCTCCAGCATATGAGGAGGACGCAGAGGACAGAGCTAAGACAGGTCAAACTTCCTCGTTTCCCCTTCTCCTTTATTCCGAGGTTGTTCTTTTCTCAATTTCAACTAGAAAAGCTGTAAAATGAGAAGTATAAAATAGGAATAAAAAAATCTATCTCTGATCCCATGGACAGTGATGGGTCTGCCTCCACCCGCCAGACAACATCTGATCTCAGAGCACCAATCTGGAGTAGCCAGCATCCGTCCACTCCCAGAGCGATACGGGAATGCTAAGAAACGGGTAAGATGTTATCACACTGCGTAACAACGTGGGGAAAGAGAGGGAGGGGTGATAAGCGCAGCAGATGGAGGTTTAATTTTACATACCACAGGTTAAGAACAGGTTAAGAGATCCTCTATGAGAAGGCGGTGTTTGACCCAAGACCTAGCAGAGGACGACACTGGGCTTGGGAAGCAGTTCGGGGAAATGAGTGGGAGGGAAGCTACTGACTGGAGTCAAGGCATAAAGGTCATTGCCTTTGAGAGTGCTGAGAACAGATGGGAAGGGGCAGAGTGGTAACAGTGCAAGTAGTGAAAAGTAGTCAAGTGTGAAATACTCTGGGGATGGGTGCACCTGGTTGGCTCAGTTAGTAGAACATGCAACTCGCTTGATCTCGGGGTCGTGTATTCAAGCCCCATGTTGGGGGAGAGATTACTTATGTATGCTGAAGTCTGAGCTGACTGCATGTGGGGTGAACAGGATGGGGGACAGGAGAGAAGTCCAGGTTTTGACCTGAGTAACTAGAACCATGTTCCGAGATATAAAAGAAACAAGTTTGAGGGAAGATCAGAACTCAAGTTTTTAGTACCTGATGGACATCCAAGTGGAGATGTCAAGCAGGGAGCTGGAGATAGAAACACGGATTGTGGAGAAAGAAACATGGATTAAGGGACAGTGGACCAATGGCTATAAGACTGAAGATATCCCCAATCAAGGGAGTGACCCACTAGAGAAGAGGCCCACAGATGGGGTCAGAGGGCACCTCCTGCTGGGGTGGTGGGGGATGGGACCTGGTGACCCCAAAGAGACAGCCAGTGATGTACTAGGTGTAAGACACACAGGTTGGCTAATACGTATTAGCGACATGATCTTTTCTCCTCCCTCGCCGGCTTCTGCATCATGGAAGAAATTGCTAATATTCCCAATAAAGTGTAACTTTAACAGCTTAAGTCTAAATATTTCCCTTACAAAATTGTAAGAGATTCAAAAATGAAATTCTTTCCCACTGAAAAATGACTTGCTTTGTTAAGTCACACCGTCCCTGCCCCCCCTGCAATACACACACACCCGAGTGCTCTCCAAGTCTTGGCCAACAACACACTGACACAATCACCCTACACTAATTGTTTCTTTGCTCAACACTTTAGTAATAGGCTCTAATTTAATGTGGATTTTGATGCTGCCTTCTGAGTTTCTTCACGGGTCAATTGTTGGCTGTTTTGGCCATTGAGAAGGTAACCCTAGAAGAAGGCAAGAAAGCCTTCTGAGTGACTGGTGGCAATCTCATTGTCCAAACACTTTAGTCCCACAAGAGAGGTAAAAATGCCTCACGGCCAAACAGCAGGTATGAATCCAGCAAGACAGCAGATGAGAGGAGTGAAGAGGCAGAGGAAGTGCCCAGCACTCGCCCCATTCTTCAACCCACCCAGACATAACCTAGCTTACGTGATGCCTAAAATTAGGTTCCACCAAAACTAGAGAGTTTTTAAAAGTTTTAGTGCTTAAAAACATCACATGGAAATCCCACTCATAATTGCTGACATAGACTAGATGTTGCCATATATACAATTTTAAGTGTTGCCAGGTGAAGGACATCCTCAATCTGCTATTATAGTAAGTAGCTATTAGAACTACCTCTATGCAAATCATGTTAAAGTGTTTACTCATAGAGTAAATATCCAAAAATTCTTTATAATTTAACAAATTCACAGTTGCCCAGTTTATGCATCTAATGCAAAGTGTGAACATATTCTGAATTGCTAAGATTTATTAATGAGTTTGTTACAGGTTTCATTAAGAAATAAAGACGTGGTTAGATTTTTAACAGGAAGAATTCCTGGGAGGCTGAATAACACTAACTCTTGAAGATGGCGGTTTCTATCTTCTCATCTTCATCTCAGGAAAGTAATCTGGAAGATGGCCACGCTCTTCATTTAAAAATCTAGGAGTCATCCTTGACTTTTTTCTTTGAACAGGTTTAATAAAATTGTGGGACTTCATCTAAGTCTCTGTGTAGATCATACATAGACACATGTACCTAGATCTACACGCAGCTACATCTATGGAATAAGAAAGCCACCAAATGATACAGTACGCCACGGGAAACCAGCATCGAATTTCCCCTTCACATACACGCAGGCACTCTTGTTCTCATTCATCCTCCCTGGCCCTGGGGTCATTCATTCATTGGCTCACCGAGAGCACCTGGTTCAGGGATGCTGCATCACGGGGTGGGAATTTGGACTTGGGGCAGGAGAGGGTGGGCAGGCCAGAAACAGAACAGAGGGAGTTCCTTCAACAGCCTGAAAACACAGGGTTCCTGCAGCACGGCCCTGGGATGAGGAAGAGGCCACACAAAGCAAAGGAGAAGATGCCAAGTTCAACCAACCATTTCTAAATTTTGCATAGGGTAGGACCCGAATCCAGGCAAGGAGAAAACGTTTTTCTATCCCTCTGTGTGATTCCAGAATCTTGGTTAATAGCAGAGTTCTAGGACTCCCTAACCTTACGGAAAAAATCAGCTCTTCTTCGTTAATCAAGGAATAAAACCACCATTTATCCCACCACCTGGCACAAAGCACCCCGTCACTGCTTCCTGAATGAATAACATACTCCTAAAAAGTTCTAAGCTGTCCAGCCTCACTTCCCGTATGGCCCTCCATGTCACATCCATACTCTGGCTCAACTACTTCCTCACTATTCTCCTTTGCTTGCTGCCTCCGATCCTATGCTCTGCCCCTTTCTCCTCTTGAAATGCCTTCCTACCTTGCCTTCTCACAGGGAAGTTAAGATGTCCCCTCTTCCAGGAAGCCCTCCCTCCCTGATCCTTCCAAATCACTAACAGTCCATGACTCGTGAGACCACTTTGTCTCACAGTGAAGCACTTCTTTCCATTCTGGTTTTAGAATTACTACACCCCCTTACACCTTCTGCTAGAACAAAAGCCCCCTCGAGGCAGTGGCAGAGTGGGGGGAACATGATTGTTCATTTTTCTATTTTCCAAGACTATACACGTTTGGTTCTATAAACACGTGCTTCAGTGACAGAAATAAGCCCAAAGCACAGCAGGTAAAGAGATTTTTTCGCTGTATATAAATACCATTTTACCAGCTAGTGTGATCGATCCCCTTGCTGCACGAGAGGGCTGCGCACGTGTGATGCCAGTCGGGCCTCTGAGCTCACTGCAGGGGGAGCCGACGCTGGAACCCCCTGGGGTCAAGCACATAACCAAAGTGATGTTTACCACAATCAGACTCACCTCATTTGCTAAGGCAAAAGTTCCCCAGTGAATTGCCACAGATTTCCTTGTCTGAACGTCAATGTGAATCCTCACAGCTTCTTCTGGGTCTACGTGCTGGTATTTCATAAACCACCTGATAAAACAGCAATTTGTTAATTCTGGCCTTTGGAATACACCCTCAATTCTAATTACTGCTTCATTTAATCAGCCTTGAAACGTTCTGCACAGGAGTAAGAAAGGCAAAACCCGTCTCTTTTGAGTCCACTTTTCTGCTGGAAAACAAAATAAGCAAAAATCTTAAACAAATTGCCACACACTTGCTAAGTCTCAAGCAAAGCTCCCCTTTGCAAGCCAAGATGTCATTTCATGAGCATTTGATTTTACTGACCATTTATTCTGAAGGTACGTTCTACTCTTAAAGAAGCAGAGTCTTGGGGCGCCTGGGTGGCTCAGTGGGTTAAGCCTCTGCCTTCAGCTCAGGTCATGATCTCAGGGTCCTGGGATCGAGCCCCACATCGGGCTCTCTGCTAGGCAGAGGGGCTGCTTCTCCCTTCTCTCAGCCTGCCTCTCTGTCTACTTGTGATCTCTCTCTCTCTCTTAAAAAAAAAAAAAAAATAGGCAGAGTCTTTGCAATCCTGGTATGAATCAAAGAAACTAATGGGTCGAGAGCTAGAAGCCAAAAGCGTGATTCAAGATAACCTGAATAAACTTGCTGAAACCATTGTTTTTTTAGCTTGCTAAAGCAAAAAGCAAACAAAAATTAGTGTAGGATATTTAAAGATTGGGAGCAAAAAAAAAAAAAAAAAAAAAATCAGTTGCTATTCAAGGATGTTATTTAAACACCATACACCATACTGAACAGTGAGGTGTAGGATTTAGAGGGAGAGTACCTGTGGGGGGCTACGGGGAGAGTGTCGAAACAGTGTGAGGCTGCCCAAAGTCTAGGGAGGGCAGGGCCCAGGAGGCTGGGGCCTGCACGGAGACCCCAGCTCTACCCCTGCTGGGTGTGTGGAGCTCAGGCCTTTGGCTCCCAGCTCTGCTGCATCGAGACTCACGGACCTGGACTCAACACAGGTGCTTCTGTGTTTCACAGAACACACCATGGACAAGTTCATTGGCAACAGCTAAAGGGTTTAACAACCCTGTTGGGAGCTGCTGAGCCCCCTGGGAGCCTGGAAACAAATCCACTGTGTTCTACTCAACAGCGGGTCAGAGAAGCACGGTTCTGTCCTGCCTCCTGACACTCGGATCCCGGGCAAGATGCAAACAGCTTTTGGTGTTTCTACTGATTTTTTTTTTTCTTTAAACTCCTATAGCCAATCAAAGCTATGGACATACTCCTTTCCACCCTTCATGTCTATCTGACATAAATTCAGAATTTTTATTTTGATGTGAAAGTTAAAATAAAAACTTAACATCCTGGGGAACTTGACTGGCTCAGTGGGTGGAACATGTGACTATCTTGGGGACGTGAGTTCAAGCCCCATGTTGGTCATAGAGCTTACTTAAACAACAACAACAAAACACAAAACAGAACTTCTTACCAGCTTGCATAGAATATCTGGTGACAGATCCCCACAGGGATATTACTGAAAGCTGCTTGGGGGTAATCATCGTACATTCGGAGAGTACTCAAACTGTGCTGGTAACCTTAGTTCTAAAACTGTTAGTACTGACCATAGAGATGGATCGTGCAGCAGAAGCTACACAGCCTAATTCTTAGAGCAAGTACTGTGCTGCTGGCCTCTCCCAGCTTAGTAACAGGACAGCTGCAATGCAAGCAGGAAGGGGGAATTCTGTGAGGGGATTTATATAGTGAATCTGTACACAATATACCATCACGTATGTGGGATCTTCATATATTGTGACACAGGAAAAATCTTCAGAATTACAAATAAGGTATTCTAATATATTAAGAATACCCTGAGGGGTGCCTGAGTGGCTCAGTCAGTTAAGCATCTGCCTTCCACTCAGGTCAAGATCCCAGGGTCCTGGGATCAACCCCCGCATACGGCTCCTGGCTCAGCAGGGAGCCTGCTTCTTCCTCTCCAACTCCCGCTGCTTGTGTTCCCTCCCTTGCTGTGTCTGTCAAATAAATAAAATCTTTAAAATTTTTTTAAAAAGAGATGGAAAACCAAAGTTCAAAGACAACTGATTCATAGTAATTTTTAAAAAATAGGGTAGAAGTATCTAGCGCCTTAAAGAAACTAGGGGAAAAAAAAGAAAAAAGCCTTAATAAACACTGAAGAAATGGTTTTAGTGAGCTTTAAAAGTTAAATACAACAAAATCGGATGGAAATAATCAGATTTGCACAATTCATTTTTGAGTTAGTGTTTCTCCTGCTTGTGGGATTGCCGAAATTAAACACCATCCTACATACAACTCTGTATCTGTGCCTGTACCGTAGGAAAGAAGACGTTTCTTCTACTATTAGTGTTTATTTTCTCTTAACTGGTACCTGTCACCCAGCATTCACTGAAATCGAGCTGCATTCTCTGAAATCACCTCTCCTTCCGTGAGCCGGACAATATGAAGGAGCGCACAGGCAGGGCCGGGTCTCCTGGGTCTCCAGTGCCCTGTGACCTTCAACTGCTCTGACTGCGGGCGAGGCGGGAACAGCGGGAACAGCCACACTGACGGACACGGGACCAGCGCAAGGGACTCACTGCTCGGATTCCTCGCTTGTTCTCTGCCCAGGGCAGGAGAGCTACAGCCTGGGGACGGGCTCGCCCGATGTGGAGCGGAAGGTGGTTACAGAGAGTTCCCCACGTGACAAGAGCCAGCTTAGCTTTGCTGACTGGCTGATCGGTTTAAGCCGAGTCAGAACCGCACCTGAACTTGCAGCTAGGCTGCAGCAATTCTTCAACCCTCGGTCCAGCTTTCCTGTGACAGGATCTCGGATTCTGAGTCATCACTTAACAGGTGTGACGGACGGAGATACTTGACAAGAACTGAATCTGACCCACCAACCTCCAAAATCACCACCAGTAACAAACGTCCACCGTTAAAATCACAAAAGATACCCCAAATTATCCCGAATTCGGGACTCCTTTAGAGTCAGGCCACCCATCACGGAGCAGGGCTGCCTCCCCAGGGGGCCCACACACCTGGGTTCATACGCGCCGATGGGAATAGCCGCGAGGTCGAAGGGGCCAAACCGTTTTCCTATCTCTTCGAAAGCCGGGCAATAACCAGTGTCTCCTGCGAAAAAAAACCGGCTCCAGGGCCCCAAGACAGACCAGCTGCCCCACAGAACCTTGTTGTCATCCATGAGAGTCCTTTTACACCAGTGCTGTGAAGGGGTGAAGACAAAGGTGACCTGATCGTGGCCGGGGACACAGTTCTCCTCCCACCAGTCCAGCTCGATCACGTTCTCGCAGCCGCACTTCTGCATCCAGTCGAGGAGGCCCAGAGGCACGAACCACCGCAGCTCCGAGCCGAAGCGCTCGTTCAGGGCGAGGACGGAGTTGTAGTCCAGGTGGTCATAGTGGTTGTGGCTGATGAGGACCGCGTCTATCGGGGGCAGTTCGCTCACGGTGCAGGGTGCGCGGCGGAACCGCTTGGGACCCACGTGCTGTGACGGTGACGCGCGAGAGCTGAAGATGGGGTCGGTGAGGAAGATGAGCTCGTCCATTTCCACCATCACCGTGGCGTGTCCCAGCCACGTGACCCGCAGGCCGGCCTCCCGCACTCCAGCCTCCTCCGGCTCGTCGATAAAATACGGCTTCAGCACCGGGAGCTCTTTGTCAAGTTCCTATGCAGAGAAAGAAAGAAAAGCAGCCGTTGGAGGGGGTTAGAAAAAGGTACATCAGAACAGAGTGTGACATAAATCAGAGAGAAAAGGGCTATTTGGGAGAGAACTGACCTCATTCAGTAAATGTGCTATTTTTGCTTATTGCTTAAAAATGCACATTTCTTTCTGAATCTGACTCCATAAAATCATGACAGTATAAGGTCTCAGTCCCAAATGCTGGAGACAAAAGGAAAATTAAATTGGCCACTCTGAGCACCGCTGAATGTATTAACCTTCTGAAAAGCTCTCTCCTGTAAGTGCTGGAAGCCGAGCTGGCCGAGCCATGGTCACTCTGCCACCGCCCCTTCACGTGGCCGGTGCCTTTGCTGCGAACACCGGTCTCCGAAGCAGCTCAGCCTGGAGGGTCAACAGAACTCACAGCCATTTCTTGGCAGATCTTGTAGCTCAGATAAGAATCGGACTTTCTGAGCACACAGAGCTCAGAGCAGAGCGCAGTGCTGATACCCCGGCGACCCCTACCCCCACCCAGCCCCTGTACAGAGGGCTCACCCCATTCCTCACCCTCAAGGCTTTCCACCACCCAGCAGGCCACAGCGGATTGTGGTCCCTGTGAAAGGATTGCTTTTGGGGGGTAAAGAGATGTAAAAACGCTAAGGACACAAAACAGAAGCATTAATTCCTTTAGTTGATCTACATTTTCTCCTCGGATTAAGCCAGAACAAGAAGTGGCTCTGTTTGGGGGTCACAGTCCTGCCTTGTATTAGGGCTTTCAGAACTGTGCTTTGGCGATCTGCTCTACAGCTGGATCGAACTCTCTTATAGGGAGATGCTGCATGAACCGGGCCGTCCTTGTGCTGGAGGGACGCTACAGCTCCAACCTCCTTCCCCACCTTCTCACCCACCCCAGAAACATTTCTTTCAAGCCTCAATAACAGGACAAGCTCTTCTCTAGAGTAACTGGCTTTATTCATTTGACTGCCACTGGGAAACTCTTACCAGTGTCTGCTCTGCTCTGCGCTTGGGCTGGGAAGCAGGGGTAAGTCTCCTGCCGGTGCTGCCTGGCACGATGGCACACGTTTCTTAATTGTGGCTTCTCTTCTTTGCGCTAAGAGTCTGTGTGCTCTTCTGTGTTCATCGATCTGATTTTTATTCCTACATCTATTTTCCTAAGTTGCTGCACATCAATTTTGAAGAGTCTGGTATTGGATAATTAAGGAGAAGACAAGACGTGCTACAGCCCAGGAAGAAGGTATGAAGAACCGGGTTGCCAAAGGCATCAGGGACACGGTAAACTGCGTGAGCTGCTGCAGAACTGATGAGAAGTTCATGATGAAGAGGAAAGGAAGTCATTTCAGGTGGAGAAAATGCCCAAGCAAAGGCCCAGAGCCTAACAGGAACGTGGCATTCAGGGGCACGGGACAATCTCTAAAGGATCAGAACACAGCCAGGGCCCTGAATGCTACCCAGAGACAGGAAGCATCTTAAAAGGGGGGTTGGGAGGCAGTGCCTGGCTGGCTTAGTCGGCTAAGCATCCAATTCTTGATTTCGGCTCAGGGCGTGATCTCAGGATTGTGAGATCGAGCCCAGCTTCTGGCTCTGAGCTCAGCCAGGAGTCTGCTTGCGATTCTCTCCCTCTGCCCCTCCCCCCACTCATGCATGCACATACACGGCGTACTCTAATAAATGAATTAAAAAAAAAAAAGAAGGCTTGTCCCAATTAAGGTTTAGAGGAAACACTTTTAGAGTGCAAATGATGACCCGGGATGTGTCATAAGAGCTGCGGTGACAGATGAAGACCAAAGGAGACAGCAGTTGAGGCCAGAGAGGGAAGAGAGCCGAGAGGTCACAGGCGGTATGAGTGGGAAAAGGCCCATGATGGGGGAAGAACAGGAGCAGCAGAAGTGGAGGACGACAAAGATGCCTCTTAGCCACTCTACACCTTAGTCTCCTCATCTGAAAAATGGGTATAGTCGTACCTACACTCCGCTGTTGTGGGGACCGTAACAGCAATAGCACACTGTAAGCACACTGTATTCTAGATGGGAAAAGAAATCGCAGCCCCGACGACCAGTCAGGCACCAACTTTGACGTTTTTACCGGTTTCCTTTCTCATAGTCACTAATCTAGTTAAGATCCTGGATACTACCCGGACACGTTAAAGTCTTCCTCAATGCTCAACTGGCTTCCTGTCAAACTCAATCCCTACCCAAGAGCCACCTCAAAAGCAGCCTACTTCCAGGGTACCACTCTCCCTGCCTAGAACAGCTTCACAGACTCGACTCTACTGATGACCAAAACCCGACTCACCGCCTCAGCCCAGCTGGACGCCCGCCGGTGGACTCCCCCGCTTTCCCTTCCAGCAGTGTTTCACCCAACTCCTGCAGACGGTGTCCCACCTACACGGGGCCTGCTTGAGAGCCCCTCACTATACTGATCCCGCTTCTCAGATTCAAATGCCCTCTCTCTAATCCCATGGAGACCGTAATCGAACTGTACCCTTCATGGGGCCAACACGGGGTCTTGACAGGGACAATCACTCCAACCACTCACCCTCCATGTCATTTTGTTCGTGCACCAGCCCGTGGACATTCTGCCCAAACCCTGGCTGAGTGTATAAAGGACGTATCTCATGTCTCACTCAACTTGGAATCAGCCACAGCACCCAGTGCATGGGGCAGTGACGAACACATCACTTGCTCAATAAAATGTGTTGGATGAATGAGTGTAAATTTTTCCGATCGGTTTTCAAAGTTGGTAGTTATGGTTAGTGAACAAGAACGAATGTTCCATGGTAGCCTTTCAACAATGGAGGAGGAGAGAGGGAGGGAATTAAATAAATAACGTTGCATTTGGTACACCCATAACTGGAGGTACAGCTCCTATTAACTACATCCACTTACAGGAGAGAAAACTATGATGGCACGCACACAAGGTCACAGCGGGCCTTCACACTTACTGCCTCACACCACTGACTCCTAAGTATGATCTCATTTAATACATATTTTTCTAGAAAACAAGTAACAGTCCAAGGATCTGATAGTAATCCGCCTCTTATTCTCCCCTGAGGATACAAGGAAACTTTTGGAGAGGGCAGCTAATACACCTTATCCTGATTCCAGTGACCATTTCATGGGTATATAAATAAGGCAAAACTCATCAAATTATATTTTTTAAACAGGTGGAGCTTGGATTAGGTTATTAAAACCATTTTTAAAATCTTTAGCAGCATCATGTGTTAAAAGGGCATCAAAATATCCATAACAAAATTCCCTGAAAACATTTGCACTTTCTTTTTGCTCTAATTTTAAAAGCCACTTGAAGTTCCCAGTGTCCCATGACCCGCAGACTGGTGGGAGGTAACAAAACCCATGGCAGAGAGCTCCTGGTAGCCTTCACTACTCTCCAAACAAAGGATTAACAGGGAAAAGCGCAAAAAGAAGCCAGTCACCAAGGTATACCACATAGGTATGATCCCTAACTATAGGAAATGTCCACAAGAGACAAGTCCATAGAGACAGAAGGTAGACCGGTGATTTTCAGGGGCTGGGGGGGGGGGGGGGGCAAGAGAATTTGGGAGCTGATGACTAAGGACACGGGGTTTCTCTGAGGGGTAATAAAAATGTATTAGATGTGGGAACGGTTGCACAAGTCTGAATGCCCTGAAAACCACTACAACTATAGAGTGTGTGAACTAAAGCTCAACAAAGCTATTTTTAAAAGGCCAAGTACTGACAACACATCTGAACTAAGCAATCATACCTTCATGTTTCCTCCTGCATGCGGTTTGTTTCTAAGCCCATCACAAAAGAACACCTTAAAGAATCTGATCTCTAGCACCACTGTCCCCTAAAACACAAAGAAACAGTCTATAACTGAGATTCCAAAAAAGACAAAATAACTTTGTCCTTTTGATCCTAAGAGTCTGAAAAAGCACGCAGAGGGGCACCCAGCTGGCTCATTTGATGGAACTCACGACTCCATCTTGGGGTCGTATGTTCAAGCCCCCTGTTCGGTACAGAGATTATTTAAAAAAATAAAATTTTAGGGGCGCCTGGGTGGCTCAATGGGTAAGGCCTCTGCCTTCGGCTCAGGTCATGATCCCAGGGTCCTGGGATCAACCCCTGCGTCAGGCTCCCTGCTTGGCAGGGAGCCTGCTTCCTCCTCTCTCTCTGCCTGCCTCTCTGCCTACTTGTGATCTCTGTTTGTCAAATAAATAAATAAAATCTTTAAAATAAATACATAAATAAAGTAAATAAATAAAATTTTACAAAAGCATGTAGATTAGGGATAGAGAAATTCTTGTTTACTGGAAGAAACCAAGCACTCATTTGACATCTTTTTTTTACAGATCAGGACTTTCCTTGGCTGGCCTTCCTCTTTTTAAAGCCACAAATGGGAAAATCCCTGGGTGCATAGTTAATGGAGACACTAGTTAATGTTTACTTTTCTTGGGGAACTGGAAAAATCCTACCGTGCATTCAACGGCTGTTCTTTGCCAGACACTGGAAGTGGGTTCTGTCATTTAACTCTGTGAATCAGATGTCACTGCCATTTTATAGATACCCAGACCAAGGGGAAGGGGTCACTAAGAAACTTGCTGGGGTCACATAGCAAATGCATGCTCAATCAGGAGTGGAATCAAGGCCTTCCTGGCTCTAAAGTCCCTATCTTTTCATTAAACCATAATTCTCTCCATGGCATAATTTAAAACAATGAAACCCATATTCCTATTAATATACTTATTATTTTTAGAGTATATATGTGCAGGAGACAGAAGAGAAAGATTTGATGTAAATCTGCTAAAATCGATTTCTTTAAAAAAAAAAACTCACATTAAAAGACTTGAGTTGGGGCGCCTGGGTGGCTCAGTGGTTTAAGCCGCTGCCTTCGGCTCAGGTCATGATCTCAGGGTCCTGGAATCGAGTCCCACATCGGGCTCTCTGCTCAGCAGGGAGCCTGCTTCCCTCCCTCTCTCTGCCTGCCTCTCTGTCTACTTGTGA